TGGTGGCCACACCACAAACACGGTTGGTGTGATCTCACAAGACTACAGGCCCCTTCGATGTACAACAATGGTGCGTGCAAGCACCGAGTGATAAGAGGTGTGCAAACTTCAGTAAACACCAGGCCTAAACCTAAAGCAAGCGCATAAGCGGTGGTCTAATCAACCTAAGCACTTTGCAAAGCACCTACGCTAATCACCTAATGAATCACTAAGCACTATGCAAGTGGAGATCACTAAAATGGTATACCAACACCCTTGGTATGTTTCCTCAGCTCCACTATACTCAAATGGCTGGTTGGGGGTCTATTTATAAGCCCCACTAAGAAAGTAGCCGTTGGGGACGAAATCTCACTTTTTTGCTACTGACCGGACGCTGCTATCGTCCTGACCGTTAGAGTGCGCGATCAACTGATCGGACACTGATGGCGTTCGGTCACATGCCACCGGACGTGTTCGGTCATAATTTCGCCGCTCTAGAGCCTCTCTGGAGTTGATCGGACGCTGCCATTCCTTAGTTCGGTCGATTTGACGCCAGCATCCGGTCAGTACTGAATGTGTTGTCGGGATGATGAACAGTGCGCCCGGTCACTTTCAGTCCTTAGCGTCCGGTCGCTGCTTCTGACGCTTGCTATTGCCGAGCCTCTTGATCAGAGCGTCCGGTCGTTGTAAGGGCTACGTCCGGTGTTGCGTCCGGTCACCACTATGAGCTCATTTCTTAGTGATCTTCTGTCCGGCTTGGTTCCTATCTTCATAATTGGACTTTGCTTGATATCTTGGGTCTTCTCTTGTGCTTCTAGGGTCTTGCTTATGGTGTTGATCATCGGATCATCACGTCGCCTTCATCCAAGTCACGTCTTGCACCCTATTGGACTACAAAGCAATCACTTGCAAATTCATTAGTCTAATTTGGTTGTGTTGGTTATCAAACACCAAAATCCAAAGTAAATAGGCCAAGAGTCTATTTTTCTTACAACGAGGACCACATATCAGGACCGGTTGGAGAACTGTGGAGCCAACCGGGAGGCTAGAGAGCGTGTAGGGCTGCCACCTCTTTCTCTAGTTTAGTCACTGCCGAGGTTTGATGACCTCCCTAGTCTTTCTGAGACAGATTCAGAGGATGAGAGGAGGAGCTAGAGCAGCCAGAGCTTGATCCTCACATGAGTTTGAGGTCCACCTTGCAGTCCATGAGGAGGAGCGCCAGGCGTGAGCGCCACACTTCGACCACTCATCGCCAAGGGAGGGTGATGGTGTCTTTTTCTTCCTCCTCCTCTTCCAACGACGACGATGATGGTGGAGAGGAGGATGTTGCAGATGCTAGTGGAGCTGCTGGTGGAGATGATGTCGATTGGGACACCATCCAAGAGGATGAGGAGTGAGTGTTGGTCTTTCTTCTTTTCTTTTCTTTTTGGTACTTTATGCCAAAGGGGCAGAAAATTAGAGGGGTCAACAACTTTTTGACGCCATAGAGAGGAGGTTGCTGCAGCTAGAGTCATGTTCGTATCCATTTAGAGCAGTTTTTGTTAGGTGAGAGTTTGAGAGTCCATTAGAAATCTATTTATGTAATAATGCTACTTAAGTACTTTTTATATGTGTGGGATATGGATAAATATTAATCTAGATTGTCGCTTGTGATACAATTATGTTAGAATATATATCTTTATATGTATCACATGTTGTGTGGTGTCTGATCTGATCTGTGCTGTTACAGCAAGTGCGGCAGTGCCGCACCCAGCTGCAACAATAAACCATGTTGTGCATAAACTGTCATTTGCATCACGTTTTACATACCTGATATAGTATGTAGCACCCACAAAAGAGCATTGATGTAGGGGAGCCCCATCACTCTCACTAAAATGTAAATCTTGGCTTCTTATGTCAATTTAAGAATTTAATTCTCTATTCACATACTTATGGGGAGGCTCTACACCCATGGCTCTAAAATCTTAGTATTTATTTTATATCTTTTGTAAGCTCTAATTGGGTTGTCATCAATCACCAAAAATGGAGAGATTGAAAGTGCAATCAAGTCCTAATTGTGGGTTTTGGTGGTAATGACCACACAATTAGAGAACTAATGAGATTTATTAAGATGACAAGCAAAGAATTTATGTTCGAGGATGCTACACGAAATGGAGGAGCCCCCAATTACAAATGTAGATGGCTTCAAACTCAAAAGAGGTTTAAATTCTTTTATATTTTGAATTTGAGTATAGGAAAAGCCGTACTATAAAAGAAAACACAATGCTTAAGCTAATATATGCTACCAAGTGCTCAAACATACATAAGCATCCTTAGATTCACAGTCAAGACAATCTACACTTCACTCTTGCCCTTGCTATCTTGCGTAGTGCGGCACTGCCGCACTTGAAGAGAGGCACTACCGTGACATAAGTGATCGTTGGGGGCTGGGGGGTATTTATACCCTTCCCCTTTCTTCCTAACGATACTCTGCCTCTTCTTTCTCACTTCAGCACGTCCAAAACAGAGTAGGAGCTCTCTCTCTCTCTCTATTGTTGACCTCAAGCCCCTAAGCAAATCCATTGATTTCCCCATCAATCCTTGAGGGAAAAGGGTTCAAAACTCGATTAGAGAGTAGCTCTAGTGATTCCCCAACTCTAAAGAGCACTTGGTTTATGTTTTGGCTGACGATTGTGTTTGTTACTCTTGGAGCTTGTTTCTAGCCGGCTAGAGTGTCGCCCGTGGAGCTTGCCAACTTGTGTGGTAGCATCGGGAGGTTTATAACCATCTCTTGAAGCTAATAAACTCACCCCTCATCTCAAGAGTTAAGTCTCTTGACTTCAGAACAAGAAAGGGTTGGAAAGTCCTAAGCCTTAGTGGCTAACCTCAACAACGTGGAGGTAGGCAAGTTTTGGTGACGAGCCGAACCACGGGATAAATTATTGTGTCACTTGTGCTTAATTTATATTACTTGCATAACATATTGTGGTTGAGGTGATTTCTAGGGTTTCTAGTCGATCTACTTGTATGTGGTGTTCCTACTACTTTTAGCTCTTGACCTGTGATTGTCATACATGCAGTAAGTTAGGAAATTTCTCCGATCTAAGTTTTCATTCATGGATTTTGAACTATGACTCAAAATTGTCTGCAGGTGTGGTAGTGCCGCTGTTCTGGCCCGGCAGTGCCGCCCTCCAGAGCAGCAGTGTCGCGGGGTGAATTTGATAAAAGTTTGAGTGTTTATTTTAACATGCCTATTCACCCCCCTCTAGACCGACTAGAGATCCTACACCTTATGTATATTCGATAATGCTCTCCTCAGGGAATTCGGACGGATGGAAGTGGATTCCCTACTCCTGTCCCTACGATCCGCGCCCCTTTCGCCCAATATACCGGCTCGCCCGATGCTCCCCTCATTGCTTCTCCATCTAAAAAACAAGATGCTAATTCCCCATTCCGGTGCTGCTGCTCGTGCTCTCCCTGGACTCGCTCTCCTCTCTGCTCCTCTCCTCTCCCTCATCCACCTCGGCTCCGCGCCGCTGTCGCCTCCCGCTCTCGCCATCCCTCCTCCTTCCCCATCGTCGCCGGAGGAGAAGCAGCATCAACAGTAGGCTCCCAAGGTCGCACGCCCGCCGTCTCCCCTTCTCCAGCACACCGCGGGGACCACGTCCACCCGTCCTGTTTGCCAGGAGGGGCGCAACAGCTCTTTGGGGCTACGCCAGCCGCCCGTTCACTAGCAACCCCCACATGACTCCGCGGCATCGAGCTCTGAATCGGCATCGAGCTCCACGTTGACGAGCCTCCATTCGTCCAAGCAGCAAGTAGATGTTGCGCTTGAAAAAAATGTTGCAAGTTTATGTTTTAAGTATTTTAGATGTTTTAGAGGTATGTTGCAAGTGTTTCATATGGATATTGCAAAACTAAATCAATATGTTGGATATGTTGCAGTGGCTACGCACGTATGTTGCAAACGTCTGTTCTAAATATTTTATCTGTTTTTTCATATGTATGTTTGTAAGTGTGTTTATCTGGATGTTGCATGCGTTTTACACATATGTTACATGTATTTTATTTGAATGTTGCATATATTTTGTAATAGCTTTTTCAAGCGCTTTTCAGTTGTTTTTATAAGTATTTCAGGTGTTACATATATGGATGTTTTATTTATATGTTTTAAAAAGTAGATCATGTGTTAAATCTCCTTTATCGTAGGGCCGGACGTCCTCGTGTATTGTGTAATTTTAAATAAAACAGCTAAATTTCTCTACAACGATCGTGTTACTTCGATTAGTAGTCGCGGTCCTAAAATAGACGGCTTTAAAATTGGAGGAATTTCTTGTGAGCCATTAAAAAGATCGTAATTTTTGTGAGCCACTAAAAAAGTTCAGCAAACTTCAGCGCCACTGCTCCAACTTTTTTATTTGTCCTCCATGTCACTGCCGTCAGATTAGGCTCTAACAGTGTCAAACTGCAGATGTGAAAAAGTCGAAAATAGCCTTAAGTCTAAATATGTCATTAATTTTTTAGTATATTAACGACTTCAAATGGAAAAACTCAAAACTAAAAAGTTTTAGATCTCGTTGAGATATATAATTTTTATATAAAAATTATCTTCTTTTAATACCGCAAAAAAAATATAATTTTTCTAAGATATATTAATCATATCAAATCATATTTTTTTTGCGAAATTAAATAAAGATAATTTTTATATGAAAAATTGTAGTTTTGAGCTTTTTCATTTGAAGTCGTTAAGATGCTCAAAAAAATTAAAGACATATTTAGATTTAAGGGTATTTTTAATTTTTCACATTTGCAGTTTGACACCGATAGAATTCAATATGACGGCAGTGGCATGGAGAATAAAAAAAATTGTTGAAGAACGCTGAAGTGCATCGAACTTTCCCAATGGCTCACCGGCGTTACGATCTTTATTAACGGCTCCCAGGGAATTCCCTCTTTAAAATTTGGTGACCACGGTCCGCATCTTCTTCCGTGGGCCTCACTCTCCCTCTCGCGTGCCCGCGCCGCCGCGATCGCCAATCGCCATGGCTCCTCCTCCTCCCAACTCCCGCCCGCCAACGCCGACGGCGTCAGCGGCTGCGGGCACCTCCTCGTCGCGAATAGACTCGCCGTCGCTAAAGGCCGCGCTCGCAATGGCTCTCATCCACTACAACCGCCTCCCCGGCAAAGCCAACGCCATCGCCACCGCCACTGCCGCCGCCGCAGGCACATCTCCCCGCCTCTCCTCCACTGGAAGCGCAAGGTGCTATTCCCCTAGCAGCAGCACCCCTCGGACTCAAACCCTACCCCCCGCCTCTGACATTCGATCTCCTTCTCTCGCCCAGGCCAAGGACCGGAAGCGCGAAATCCTCCGCCTCCGCGAGGAGCTCAAGCTCCTCCAAGGTACGTACGCCCATGCCAATCTATCCGCCGCTGCTGTTCGGCTGGCCGAATCCCATTACCGGCATCGTGTCAATTGAGTTTGTTATGGGAGCAGATGGGGCGCGCGGGGAGGAGATGGAGCCCCCGGTCGCGTCGTGCCGGTGCCACTTCTTCGACGGGTGCGGGGACCTTCCACCGCAGCAGGGTGGCGGTGGTGGGGAGCACTGGGTTGACGAGGTGCTGAGGAGGAGGTTTCTCAGACTGGGTATGGCTTCGGTTTGCTTCGATGTGTAGTATTTTGAAATTTGTGTGGGCTGCTAATGGAATTTACACTTCTGTGATGTGTGACAGTGCGGTGGAAGGAGAAACGAAGGCGAGTGGATCGGCCTCTTCCAAGTTGTAGTTTGATTGGTTGGTTCTGCCTTGAATCTACTGTCATTATTTTGATGTCAAAACATCGAAAATTTGAAAAGTCTGTAAACAACAACCTTGCCCTTGCCTTGGACTTCATTTCTCCTGCAGTAGAAAATTTTGCCCTGTGACACTCATTTCTGATTATCTAGGGTTACTCTTGGAAGAGGAAATGTTATAATTTCTTCAGCTATAGTTTCAATTGTTTCGCTTCTCCAGATTTCAACAGTGAGGATGAGATGCAGCAGCTCAGCATGTCGATTGATTTCCTGGTGGAGCTATCAGACGGCATTTTTGCCAAAGTAAAATTCTATCATTTGTTCACAACTAAGGTATTTTTTGTTTCGTTTTTCTAAAGGTAAGATTCACTTGTGCAGAGAGAAGCTGGCCCCTCATTTGCTACATTTTCTCACCAAGCAGTAGATTTCATTTTGGGTAAGTTATAATTGATCTGTTATGTGTTTGTGCTCTGAACATTAATCTTTGACAAAAACAGAATTCAATGAGATGAAAAGTATGAATATTCAAATGATGTTGCATATGCAATCTATGCTTGGTTGAAACGACCATGGGTAATCATTAATCATTCGGTAATCATGTTCCCTGTTCAGCTACACTGAAGAACATTCTTTCATCGGAAAGGGAAAAGGAGCTAGTTGGGGAGATAATCGATGGTTTAGTGACTCGTTTGATGAAAAGGATGTGCACCGTTCCTGAAAATCCTGGTACTTCAGATTCAGGTGACACTTGGTATATTTATTTTGTATTTGTTTTCCCAGACAAACACATTTAAAGTAATGACATGGTGCAGTGGCACAGAAGCTACGATTTTATTTTGTAGCATCACTGCTTCTCCATATGTTTGTTGGGTAGTGGACTTACCCTTTGATTAAGTTGATTGTAGTTTGGGCTCCTAAGTTATTCTTTGTTGATTCATGTTCATTGTTTCATATTTTTTTGTGAACATAAGCCTAGTCCCTTTGTTCTGCAGTGGAGCACAAGGGTCCTGATGCTTCAAGGATCCATTTTTTTTAAATATTTTTTTTCTGTGTCCACATCTCTCTTAAGCTGAGTGTTAAGTTAAACTTGTGAAGTCATGGTCTCATGGACAGTATTTTCCAGTAGATACTGAAATGCAAAATAAGTATGTCTTCCTTAACATTCCATTTCCAATGAATCAGAATGCAATAATGCATGCAGCTTCCAAGTTTCATCTGCATGAGATAACTATGAGTATGTAGCTGTACTTTACATAGTATCCCCATAATAATGTCAACTACACCTTAGGTACCGTTTGATTTTTAATCCTCATGATAGTGGTACCAAGTATGATAAATTAATTGGAGACTCATTACTTTTATGTTGTATATGTAGAAAGTGTTTTTTCCATTATTATACCCTTATTTTCTTGTTTTCCTGAGTTATTTTTTATCGTTTCGTTACTGAGAACTGAACATTAAATAAACGAGGAGCATTAAGCTCTGAATTCGACAATCAACAGACATGTCTGTTTGCTTCCTATTATAACATGCCTATTGATTTCTGTTCCTTCCATCTTGTTCAATATTTTGCAGGATCAACTGGCTGCTCAGATGCCCAGTTCTCTGTGCAGCACTTATTCCGTAAGTTGGGAAATGATGAATTCATTGGTCAGCGGGTAATCCTTGCAGTTTCTCAAAAGATCTCAAATGTATCTGAAAGATTGCTCTTGGTTGATCCGTTTGATGATGCTTTCTCTGATATGCATGACAATATATTCATCATGTAAGCTGATCTTCATTTCTTTCTGATTTAAATTTCATTCGAAGAATCTTTACTCCTTAAGTCAATTATGAGTGTCCATTGTGCTCTTCAGAGTTGAGAATAAACATTTGACTTCTTTAGTACTGAATTATGGATGGAAAAATATTCATTAGTTCAGTAGTTTGCCCATTGTATATTTTTTCAATGCACAATAGTTCATATATAGAGGAAGTTTCAGACTGTCAGTAGCCTGGTTCTCCTTATATATTTGTATGGTCACTGGTTTTATATTATGGCTACTGTGTTGCAGGTTCTGTTGAGATACACTCAAACATCTTGTTTCCCTTTTATGTTGGCTTTATCCATTAATTTTTATTCAAAACATTCTATGCTATGATATTCTGAGTTGGCATAATTCTGAAAGATTGTAGTTTTGATTCAGCTAGTTTTATCTATGAGGGTCATCAAAACTAGGACAGTTTTTTATGCTCTCTAATACGCCATATCTGAAGCAAATTCTATCGATGCCTATTTAGTAACTGTTTATATGGATTGTATTCTTGCTATATCCATAAAGATTTTTTTTGTGTGTGTTAAAGTTGGACTCTAACTGTATCATTATATGTTATGCATGCTCATTTTGTCCCATGTTGCAGGATTCAGTTACTCGAGTTCCTCATATCTGATTACATGAAAGTTTGGCTATGCTGCGAGCATATTGACAAAAGTTAGTGCATTCGTGCCCCCAACAGTCGTATTTTCTATTTGCTATTGTGCTATATGAATTGCATTATCACTCAACATGACAGCGGAAAACATTGACTCACTTGAATTGGGGAAAAGAGATCATATCCATTGTTTTTACTTTGCTAAATTCTTCTGGTTCTTATAACTGCTGTTTAATACCTTCCATTTCTGTATTATATCGCACTACATAATTAATTGCTGTATTTTGATTTACAGACATAATGTAGAAAGTACATTGACTGAATATTATATTCTTAATCACAAATCTCAATGGGAAACTACTTAAAGATACACACACCTGATGCCAGTTCAAATACTGATCCATCATTGTGGGTCACTAGAAGAGCTTAATTAACTTAAATAAAACTATTGTTCAGGACTTTTTGAAGAATGTACCAGATCTGTTCTCAAGGCACGCACTGATTTGCGAATCCTGGAAAACATGAATGGGCTTTATGTCGTGTACATTGAGCGTGTGGTCGGAAGGTTGGCAAGGGAGGTGGCTCCTGCTGCACATCAGGGGAAGCTGGACCTAGAAGTCTTCTCCAAACTGTTGTGCTGAGAGTGCCTGCATTTGACTTTCCAAGCCCGACCCGGCCCGCTAAATGCTCAGGTCGATTGAAAACCACGATATCATTGCTCCACTTAGACTATGCGTATTTACATTTCTGTTTATAAGACAAACTTTGGAATCTGGTAGTGGATCTACTTGTGTGGCCTGACATTGTTTCATGTCACTATTCATAGTTGATTAGTTTCATTTCACTGACTTAACTCCATACCCTGTGAGTTGCTACAGATATGCTTTGTCTACTCTGTAAATTTAGGTGCATGGAACGATTTCTGCACTTTGCCTTTACTCTCTACTGCTAGTTCAAAACAAAATGCATTGTGTACTCTGCAAATATGATAGTATAAAGTTTAAAAAACAACTTTTTTAGTTTTTACTCAAATACACGCCATTCATGTTGATAGGTACGCATGCACATTTTGTATCTGCTTTAAAATGGGAGAGTGTTTTTCTCAGATTAGAACACATGATCACCTTACAGCCAAGCTATTTTTGCATGATGTGCAGAGGGTGCTGTTGTCTGTTGCCTTTGGCGTGCATGTTGCTTTCAACATTTCTATAACTTGCGAGACCGAAAGAAATTTACAATAGGCATGTCTGGGTGCCTTTTAGTCAACAAGTAATTTTCCCCCTTCACACTTGTGGTTTTATCAGGGTGCTCCTTGTGGCCAACTATATGATGATTAACTAGGGATGTAAAATGATTGGCTATTTGGCTCACACGTGTAACTGGGAGAATAGAGCAAATCTGGGACTGGGATCCATACTTGCTTGACATATCTGATTAATGTTGAGGAGGTATCGCAGCTTGCAGTTTGTTCATAGGTAAAAGCATGCACATTTTGAACTGGTAATCTTCCGTTCAGAATACCGCCAAAATTTTTCCATATCAGAGCCTAAATCTGTTTGTTAGTGAAAGTGAAGGCATCTTAGTTCATTAGTTTGAAGGGGTCTAGCGAGGTTTGGAAATTCTCTAAAGTTGTTGGCCCCATTGCTCTTGCTTTAACAACATGCTAAAGACAACAACATAGTGGAATATGAGGAAGACTTTGATCACGTTCAAAGAACATAATTTTGGAAATGAAAAGCCATATACCCAAGAATGCCAGTGTGCTTTCACTCTCCTTTTGGGAAAGAATGTGCTTGCACTCTTCACCCTAGGACAAGGTTGATAACCCCGTGCCCACTGCCCAGCTTGGCTCTACCAAATCGGTGCTTGAGTAGTTACATCACCTTTTAGTCAGCAACTATCATATCTCCCTGTCTCCACCTGTATAACAACAACAGCTATCACGAAGCAAGGTACTGGTAATCAATTATCTCAGGCTCTTCGGTGACTTTATCTTGGCTAAGCTCAACCGTCCTCTTCGTCCATTGACAAGCCCTTATGCCAGATCAATGCAAGGTCCTTTTCATGTAGACCAATCCCATGAAGCATCGTGCTGTGTCCTTTCCGATTCACGAGTTACGTGCATTTCGTAGCCGCCTGAATCTGGCCTTCAGCCTTCTTCCTGAACGGTGAAAGATCTACATCCAGTTTGCTATGATGTAGTTTTCTTACCTTTAAACCTGAAGGAACCGAATTGGTGCACACTGCGCACTACTTCAGAGCTTGAAGGTTTAACTCGCTATTGAGCTCAGCTAACTGGTTGATCAGGGAAGTGAAAAATCTATTCAAAGATTTGATACTGCCATATATGTCTTTATCAGATTACCTTTGATGAACTTGCTTGAGTAGGAGAAGTGGTTTCTCTTTTAACCCTAGAGTACTATCCCATTAAAGATTAATATATGTCTTGGACATTAAATTTATCGTATACTATATATTTGTACACTGACAAATTGTTTGTGAGTAATCTGCAAATAAATCATGTACCTTCTGTATTTTCAACCTTAAGTTTGGTGGAGGCCATCTAGAATATGATGTGATGATAAGCTGGTCGATTGTGACAAGCCTAACCACCCCCACATCGAGTTGTCCATTTGTCCTAAACGATGGAGCACCATGTGTGGTCCTTGGGATATCTGAGGCCCCTTGCATGAAGCCACAGAAATATATAGAAGTTGCAAGCATGCAGGTAGCAAATATAGGATATTATGCATAACCTTCTGTACCAGTGCGAGTGTCACACTCACGCCTACAGTAAGGGTTAGAGAGGAGGGCCACAGAAAGTCAAAAACCTTTTTCTGATGTTAGTTGTGGTGTGTGCAATCGTGCAGGTGTTTGGCTGCCGTGCTGTACTTGCCTGCACACGTCAAGCTAGATGTGAACACAGGAGAGATGGATGTGAGATACCAGATGACATGCTGGGTACGCTGAGCTCTTGATGGAGAGCTAGCTATGCGCAGCGGCGACAAGGAAATGGCTGGACTTTTGCCTAAAGCGGTTGCTTTGGTTAGTAGGACATGCATGCATTGGCCTTTATTAAATTTCTTGCATCATTGTGTCTTGTTATATATGTATAGCTAGTCACCATCTCCTTCATCAATGCAATAACAAGAAGGCTCTCGGCCTGCTTGGTCGTTTGAAAAACTAAATGCACATCCAGCCTCATGCCCTCATGCATGATAGGATTTTTATCGTTGAGCAAGAAGATGGAGGCAAGATGAGAGTGATGTAAGCGAGATTAGTAGCTAGGGGAGAAAATGGCCATATATCTCCTCCACGCATCACGAATATTGCAAGCAACAATAGAGGCAAACCTGATGTGATCACCTATCATTAGATTAGTCACATCATATATTTTATAGTAAACCTATTTAGAGATATAAATATTAACAATAGTTTTTATAAATCTAGTTAAACTTTAGATTGGTTAACACTTATTTTAGAAAAAGGGAGTACTAAACAATTAATGGCATGTGAAAGATACTCATACCCCGTCCACAAAACAATGCAAATCCTACTTTCCAAAGTCAGGTGATTTAAAGTTTGACAAAATTTGTATAAAAAGTACCGACATTTATGATTTAAAATGGGTATCAATAAACTAATTATGAGATATATTTTCATAGTAAACCTAACGGAAGACATTAATATTATTCACTGTAAACTTGATCAAAGTTAAGTTAGTTCGATTTGCATAAATCATATAGTTGCATCCTTTTACGGAGGAAGTGTTAAATTACTCCCTCGTACCAAATTATAAAAGGTTTTGATAATTTGTAGATACACTGTTTTTACTATATATATCTAGACATAATATATATATAACTGCACAACATGGAGGGAGCAGGTAGCAGTAACAAACTGTCATATATAGCCGCAGGGTATCACTCGTGTGGTTGCATACATCACTTTGAAAAGCCCTGACGGTAGTAGTGCCTGCCAAGGATCACATGCAGAAGCAAGATGTTTCCATTTGATTTTTATATATACATTAAATATAGGATACTAATGAAAAGAAGTGGCACATTTTCGTAGGACACCTTGCCATGTACTCTGCCTCTTTTATGTTGTGTGAGCATCTTTTCGCCTGCTAGTATACAACTAGTCATAGCTGCTCACCTGCATTTGGCTTCATGCGTGCGATGTGTTAGAATCTCTCGCTTCTCAAAAATGACATTGAAACACACTAGTACACGTACCATTCGTCACGTGAGAGCTGGTGCTCTCCTGAAATATAATTTATCTAAATGTATTCAATGTCATATATATGATTCTAAGTTTTGACTAAATTTATTAGAAAAATATTACCATCTAATAACATATCAAAAAGGTGAATTATGAAAGTACATTTCAAACTATATCTACTAGTTATGCTAATTTGATATATACCATAAATGTTGTTGTTCTTTTTTTATAAATTTGACAAATTTAAAACAGCTTGACTAACGAGGACAACTCAAAATCCTTATATTTTAGGACGGGGGAAGAAATAACTCTGTTGTTTATAACATTTATTAAGGGACCAATCCAGCTTTACTTGTCGTTGTGATAATTACTTGCCATCGTCTTGTCACGGCATGCAAATCAAACTTTTTGTCTAGCTTGCCAGCTATATATATAGCTGAAAGAATAGGGCTGGTACCTAGCCCAAGCAGTTGAAATGATCCAGATTCACATGTACTGAATCACGGTTTACGGGAGTGTTCGGTTCTCAGCCATCATACGCCAAGCCACATCCAAGGCTGCCACACTGCTATTTATTTGGTTACTGATTAAAGATTGGTAACCATAGCTTTTATTTTGCAGTTCATTTTTCCACCACGGCTGTGGCGCCGCCACACATGTGCGTGGCGCAGTTCGGCTGGGACCAAATACTCCCTACATGACTTCTATATATACGACTGTATATGAGTTTAATTGTTTGATTCTTATTAGTTAGTTTTCGATTCATTGTTCATGTTAAACTTCAAAAGAAAAAAAAAAGCACATGATCAACTACAAGGACAATATATATTAACCGAGCAAACATAAGTATATATATGCATCATATTATTTGCAAGGAACAAATATAATCCAGCATATATAAAATATATGGCTAGTAGTGATCTTTTGTTCTTTTGCTTGCCTTCAATTTCTTGCGTGTGCTAGTTCATGTAATTAGCACTGCACACGAACACAGTACCCTGTACCCATGCATGCCCAATTCGATCGATATGCAGCAGACACACACGTACCTTAGATTTGATCGATGCGATTCATCAAGAACCAATAAATGTTACTGATGTACTAGTGGTCTAGTGCTAGTACTGATTTATATATAAAAATCAGGATAATTAATTCAACAAATAAACGAGCTGCAGATCATACTAATTAAAGCAATGCATAAATCATATCAAAGCATGATGTTCTTGGCGAGTTGTAATAAATAATGCGATCCTCTCATAAAACCCACAGCTTCAACACGCGTACCGCGTACGTACATACATACATACGCATGCATAGCGCGCGCTTAGCTAGCTTACAGCTTGAGCGACAGGTCGATGTCGTCGGCGGCGTCGCCGGCCGCCGCGGCGGCTTGCACGCGGTAGGCGTACCGCCGGCCGCCGTCGGCGATCCAGCTCACGACGGCCGCCGCGGCTGCCTGCTGGTCCCCTGGGCCTCCTCCCGCGTGCGCCGCCGGGTACCAGCCACCGAGCTCGGAGGCCGCCGCCGGCGGCGGCGTGGGCGGGGCTGCCGCAGCGGAGGAGGAGGAGATGGCCGCACTGACGACCGCGACGGCGCCGGAGAGCTCGCGGCTGCGCTTGGCGAGGCTGCGCTCCAGCTTGTGCGCGTTCTGGTGGCCGCCCAGCGCCTGCGAGCTGAAGAACTTGCGCCGGCAGTAGGTGCACGAGAAGGTGCGGTCGGGATCGGCGGCCACTACCGGTGGTAGGTGGTGGTGCTGCTGGTGCTGCCTGCCCATGCCGCCGTTGCCGCCGGACGCCGACTGGTGGTGGACGAGGCGCAGGTCCAGGTTGACGTCGTCGCCGCCGGCCGGCTGCCTCTCCATGAGCTCTCTCTTTCTCTCTCTAGGATCGGAGTAGTGATGTGATCGAGCTGGGTGATAGTAGGTTGCTTAACCTTGAGGGAGGAGGAATGGAGGATCCACTGCACTGCACTAATACTTTGTGTATAAATAAACGATGATCCGTGAATGTGATGTCAGCTGCCTGCATGTCTCACGTCTTTGGTTTGGCTTTTTCTAAAAGCCATTTCATATTCTCTTTAGCAAAAGCCACACTTTTTATTAATTTCAGGTCTTGTTTTCTTAAGATCGGCCAAAATTTGATACTGTGCTAATGAAATGCCTTGATACCAGTAATTTAATTTGTGTAGAGCATTCTCTGCATGCAGCACCATGGTCCATGTATATACTCCCTCGTTATAATTTATAGGTCATTTTAGTTTTTATAGATGCATATTTTTTATCATGTATGTAGACATATCATATATCTAAATACATAAGAAAAACTATATATCTAGAAAAGCTAAAAGCGATCTATAATTTGAGACCGATGGTATTAGATAATCAATTTTAATATACCCTGCATTTTGAGTTCTTGAAAGACCTAGCTAGCTGACATCACATCTGGGGAAAGGAATGATATGTGTTGTGGTGGGTAATAGGAGGTGAGCAGAGAATCCAAGAGCTAGCTAGCTAGGCTACCGCTCAGGATTGCCACTCGCCCCCTCATAATGGCAACACGTTAACCATTCCTCTTTTTAGCCATCTTACCATCTAACCCCAGCAAGACAAGCTACCCTGCAGCGCCAAACCAATTCTATGGCACACTAATGATTTTTGGAAGTTTGGTAAAGTTGGAAGAGACCACTCTAAGGGCGTGCTTGGTTCCCGGCCACAGCCTGCGATAGCAGCAGCTGAGGCGGCGCCAAAGCTTAAGCGGCAAAAAATCAGCCTCACATCCAGCACAAAGAAATGAACTAGTAGCTGCATGCAAAACTTTGGGGCGCCGCAGGTAAGAAAGCAACCAAACAAAGTCCTCGTTTCCTGTGGCGGCCGCACAACTGTGGCATGGCAATACATGACGTAAAACACACCGTAAGGCCTCCAACAATGGCTGAACCCGCGATGACGTGTCAACTGAAGAATGATGCCTCGCCATCGGAGGCCAACTGTGAACCCTGCTCTTAGGGAGGAACCGAACCCAAAATCGGAATAAGTTCTTACACATTAGACAAACATTTGTGGTGGCAAAGGAGAGAAGAAAGTTGAGGCAAAACTGAACCATCACTAGAGAAGGGAGAGGAAAAACTAAAACCCATCCTGTTTAGGCCTTGTTTTGGTATAGCTACTTGGTGCTCTAATTCCTCCTCTGTAGCAGCACTGCTTGGCACTATAGTGCAAAGCCGTTTTGATTTCCGAGGCAAAGATTGAATTGGGAGGAAGAGGAGCCGACGCAGCCATGATTCCTAGCTCCATGCTACAGTACTGCTGCTGTGATCAATAGTGCCGGAGCCAGAGCAGATGGGAGTCGTGCCAAATAACCCCTTAGTATTCCTTTTTTATCAGTAATGGAACCACAACTGGAGAAGGCCTAACTATTCCTACTACTAGAAAATAGACTTAAAACCACTAGGGAAATACAAAAATATAGTAGAATAATTTCTTTGGTTATAGCTTGACAGAATAATATAGATTATCTGACAAACAAATGTCAAAAACTTAAAGTTTAGTCAAACTCATAATAAACTTATTTGAAGATACATGTAGTCAAACTTAAGAAAATTAACTAGCACGGGTTCTACGGTGACTTTTTTAAGTATTGAGGGAGTACATTTACGTATCTATAATGTACGTGAGCACCTCCGCACACGTACGACGTAATCTCTGCGTTGACGTCATGGAATATACTAATCCAGTGGAACGAGCAATGGAAGTACAGTTGTTACTCACACATGTACAGAGACGTGCGTCTTAACATAATAACTATGGTCTCCAACAACCTATAGAAGACCTATTTTAGTTAGCACGAGAGGCATAATCTAAATGTGAGTATTCTCTCTTCTGGAGATCCATTTACAGAAAGAGTTATCTTTTAGGTTTTATTATTGAAAAAGACTAAAAATAGATATTGAATATACCCAAAAGATGAATGGATCTTATATTTTGAATTGCAATTGCTGCAGACAGTAGAACGGATGGATGGCACTGATATATACAGTGTATGATCTCGATTGACAGACAGGTGGTACGTCAGTAGACAAGAGTTCGGTTTGACTGTCGAATATTACGCCTTTCGAGCCCAGAGGCCAGAGTACTGCCTACTATGGGAGGTTATCTTTGTCTTTTTTACTAGTACTGGTACTAGGGTCTTGTTTAGTTGGCGAAATTTTTTGGAAAATAGTACTGTAGCACTTTCGTTGTTATTTGGCAATTAGTGTCCAATCATAGTCTAATTAGGCTTAAAAGATTCGTCTCGTGAATTTCGTCTAAACTGTGTAATTAGTTTTATTTTTTATTTATATTTAATGCTTCATGCATGCGTCCAAAGATTCGATGTGACGGGGAATCTTAAAAAATTTTACAAAATTTTGGGAACTAAACAGGCACTAGCTTATATCACTATACCACGCGTCCTATTGAAACGATCCAAACCGCGAAAGAATGCATGTTGCGTGCCACGTAAAGTGGTTTACGTTTCACCAAGTTTCTAGTAAATAGTATTTATATTTATGGCTTTAAATTAAATTATTATAAAAATACACTTCGTAATTAATCTAATGATATTTATTTAATATTATAAATATTTATACTTTTTTATCTATAATTGGTCAAAGTTGATATACTAGCACATGACACTGTTCCACAGTTGTATTCTTTTGGGGAGGGAGGGAGTAGTTGAGATCAAACTACCTTAATTAGTTTTAACTAACTAATTTATAAAAGTATTATATTCATGATTCCATAATTATAAAATAAAACTACCTTGAGTGGTTGTATCAAGGGATTCGATTATTTTGCATGTCTGAATCATTTGGCGAAACTAATTAAGTTCATAAATTCTTATATTCTCGTTCCGGAATTATGGACAAATACAATTAGATACCGGACTTTTAAAAGTACATTAAAAACCCTTCTACGCCTCGTTGGTTTATTATAGGGTACCTCCTTTTCTCTAACTCCGAAGTTCAATTCTTGGCTATAGCACTTAATTTTCCACCAAGTTTTATGCAGGACTCACTTGTAAGCCTCTGGCCAAGAATAGATAAATAGATTTAATGGTTGGTTTATTGGAGGATTCCCAGGTCCGAAGTTCAATTCTGTAAGTGTTGCCATAAATATGGTTGTGTAGCCCGTTTACACATCGTTTAAACATTGTTCGGTGACTAGCCGTGTCTGGTTACTATATATATATAGCACTTAATTTTGCACCAAGTTTTACAAGGGACCCGCTTGTAAGCCCTAGACCAGGAATGGATAAATAGATTTCATGCATGGTTGGTTTATTAGAGGAATGGCACCTTTTTCCCAAGTTCGAAGTTTGATTCATAGCTACAACACTTAGGTCCTGTTTGGAATGACTTAAGCTCATAGAAAAGCTAGCTTTTGGTGAGCTGCCCATAGAAGTTGCATTTTGGAGAAGCTTTGGAGGTAGAAACCAAGTGTTTGGCTCCTCAGGTTTTCTATAGCTTTACTCAGCCAACGCATGGAGCCATGGAGGCGAGCTCATTGGAGAAGCCTGCGGGCGAGCCGTGGTCCTCTGAGAGGCATCCAAGCAAAGAACTTGCTGAGGAGCACGCGGACGAGGTGAGCTTATTGGAGGAGTGGTCCAGCAGAGGGAAGACGAGGGGAGGTGCAATTTTTACAGTAATTGGTTGATAAATGGAAAATATTTAATGCAAAACTAGTTTTTATCCTCTAGAATGCATTATAATTGAGGATAATTTTTTAATGCTATAATGCATTATAGTTCGGATATCAATGGTCATCAACAAGTGTGTGGCCAGCCATGCCACCTTGACCATTGTCGCTCCATAGCAATGATGCTCCTCCAGCCATCTTTCCTCCATGGCCTTTATGTCTTGCTCAACCTCTAGTGTGGACTAATCACCTATTCATCTCATAAGAAACCTTATTAGTCCATCTAAAGCTGTCACTCAATTACCAAATTCAAATCAGGATTTTCAAGGGGGACTTTGGACATTTGATATCTTTCATCTCTTACAGAGAAAACTAAGAAGTCATTTTATCGAACATTTTTCTACCGGCCGGGCTTTAGCTCCTACAAAGAAATTACTTTATAAAAGTTAGAGTCGGAGTGGGAACCCCGCTAAACGGAATCTAAGTTATTATGCAAGATTATTTTTCTTTCTTTCTTTTTTTTTATCCCAAGTTCAATTATAATTTCTACAGTATCTACGGAGTATCTAGCTGTACCTATCCTAATGTCAATCAGGCTGAGGCTAGGGCATATATAGCCATATAGGCTCCAGCTGCATGCCAGGATTGTAGTACCGGCCAGGAATGGGGTACCTACCGGCTAGATGTCCAGAATCAGGCAAGTAATCCAATACCATCACTTGCACAGTGAGATGACATGCTCACATGCTTGGGTACTGTACTGTACTTTGAACTATTCATGGGTCACCAGCTCTACGCTAAACGCCTATACATAGGCACTATTGGCTAGCTACTCGGGTCGTCACCTCTATCATCCGTCTTATTTAAAATTTTTATATAAATATCATATATTCTGTTATGACTTATTTTATCATTAAAGATAATTTAATAATAATTTATTTATTTTATAATTTATACAAAATTTTTGAATAAGACGAACGGTCAAACACGATATCTTAAAATAAAAAACATCACTTTTTTTGGGACGGATGGAGTACCAGATCTTCCATGGATCTACCACAGCAGTCCCAGAGAACTCTACTACAGTGTGGTACTCCCTCGCCCACAAAAAAATTCAATTATCACATTTCAAAGTATATAAAAAATACAAACATTTATAAGATAAAATAAGTAATATTAGATTAGTT